AGGAGCCTGAATTGTTTCGTAGCGCTTAGAGGGGCTGCTCTGATCAACAGTCGCATAATATTGAGGTATTTGTAGTGACATGCTTAGGTGCCCCTGCATATATTTTCGGTGAGCACCCCTGACACTACACTATGCATTAGTCTTAGTCACCTTCTGGCCAGTTTATATTGCGAGAGACGATAGATTATTTCGGCTTTTTTCTTCTTAAAACAAATATTCTTATGACAAATACAATGAAAAGAAAAACGTTTTTTTATTGGTCCTGACCTGGCATCTCGACTTCAGTCACTTTTCCAACAACGTAAAGTATTTTTCCTATGCCTTTTCTATAAATACTTTCATGGAAATTGTTCTGGGGTACTTTCCACTATGGTACCTAGATTTTATGAAGTTAAGCTCAGTACAAGATTGGCAACAAGGTCTCATCTCTTTACAGATGAAATGACCGCTAGATATAACTATAAGTTCTATACTAACAGTTCTTTCTATCACATTTCTCATTTGAGGAACACTTTTTCAGCTTCTTGCTTCCCAATAAGAATTGATCTTCAAAAGTTTAAATACAATGTCAATCGTTATCTTCTGTCATCTTAATACCTGTTCTTTTATTGTCCTCTCTCCTTAATAGTAATTTTTCTTATATTCTCTAACACTCAGTAATCCCTTGCATCGTAAAGATTTTATTACCTTGCTTGGGGTGAAATGATTAAAAAAAAATGTTTTTTTTTTCCAACTACATCAACTAGTCCTACAATTTATTTTCTTACAGTGTCAAATTCACCATGCACTCACTGATGGCCTATCTCACATCACTAGATCATCTTGATAACCATTGGTCTACTGCAAGTGCTTGATTTACAGTTTACAAATTATAAAAAGGAAACCTGTCAAGAATATTTCTTTACATGCATGACAGACAGGTGTTTGTCGCCGGTTTTATCGCACTTGACAAATAAGTGACTCATAAATGCCCATCTCATATAACCTTTCTTTAGACATTCTTAAGTGTTACATATGTACAAGGTTGAAGGATGGGTATTTATTCTTGTTAACACTTTCGCTTTCAGACATCATTTAATGTTTTTATTTTTAACAATATCCTTTTTGGGCTGCAGGTGACCAATGACAATCTTGAAATTTTGGAGGTGTTTCTTCTAACGTAAAGTTCTGTATAGATTACATTCAAATGGAAACGATTTTCAAAGAAATGTATTTAAAATTAAATGAGACAAAAAAATGCTATATATTTTTTCTTTGCTTGATTTCTGATAAATGCTTTTGAAAAAAGAGATAAGGAACTTTTGTCTTTGAAAAATTTAAAAGAAAATCTTTTTTATGTCATTTTTTAAGATCATAGACGTGTTTCTATATGCATTTGATTCTGTAATAATAATAATATATGGACAGAAATCTTTCTATTATACAATTTTGTTGTTGAATATTATGGATAAGAAATATATTTTTTTCAGTTCTTCTAGTGTCCTTGCATTATTATTATTATTATTATTATTATCTATTTTTTAAGGCGAAGTGTATAGGAATTGTTTTCATTGTCCTGAGATCTTTCAGATATTTTTTTAGTCATTTTTCTTTTTCATCTAACGATAACGGAGAATTTACTATATGGAGAAGAGTGGTCATTATTGGGGATACTAACCAATCGTGTGTTAGTAGACAGTAAGTGACAGCATGGACATTTAAATCGGCACTGCATGGTGACAGGCGTTTTCACACTTTAAGTTGTGAAACTGCCAGTCACCATGTAACTAACCATTACACCACGTTGAGGTGCCTTCTATCTATAATTATATGTATGCATGATTGTAATCTAATGGGTTAGTGACTCGGAATTTCAGTCAAGTTTGTTATATTCACTTACGCGATGCTCAACAAATACCATTGCAAATGGTATGAATCCATCTCTTTGTTTTCCCCTACATATGGGTTAAATAGTAGGGTAGACAAATACCATTGGGAATCGTGTAAATCCATCTCATCTTCCCCTAGCTATGGGTTAAATAGTAGGGTAGACTCCTTAGCTTTGATTGCCAATCAGTCAAGGAGAAGGACAACTCTGAATTCAAAGCATGAAGAGGGTCATTTGGAGACCTTGTGCCACACTATGTGCACCAGTTCTCTGTTTTCGGTTCTGCACAAGTCTTCACCACTAGAATCAAATCATATGTACTGGTTATGTCTGACTGACTGGGCTACTGGATCCTCATATGTTGATGATGGGAGAGAGCCCATTATGAGAGAGAGAGGGGAGGGATATAGAAATCAACATTGCATAATTACAGTCAGTTTCACCACATCTTGCTGTGATCTTTAGACCAAGATCGCTTTGATTTCAAGGTCTACACTGTCTGTTTCTATATACAGTGTAACCCGGATATAAGAGAGTTGTCGGGACCGGAGAAGAAGTCTCTTATATCCGGGTTTGGTCTGTTTTGTTTAGGTAAGTATGGGCTCTAATTTAGGACCAGAGAAAATCTCTCTTATATCCAGGTTTCTCTTATATCCGGGTCTCTTATATCCGAGTTACACTGTACTCGAATACTAAAGAAACGCTCTTCAACTTTTAAATTAAATATAACAAATTTTAAACAATGTGTGTGTGTGCGTGCACACACACACACACACATCTGCTTTGTTAATAAATTATTGTCAACTGAAGTATGAAATTTAAATGCTCTTTTCTGAATTTTGGTAAGAATTTTAGTAAATATAAATTCTTTTCTATTTTGGGGTGAATAATTTTGTGGTGAATTAAAAGATTCGAATTTTGAAGTATTCCTTCTAAATAAATAAGAACACAAAGTTTTTTGGGGAAGAGATTTTTATCTTTCCTTATTCACATGAACGAAGAAATCGTTGACTAAAAATCGATCATCCAAAAACTCAAAAAATGTGATAACAGGCCCGTAATGGGTAGGCCGGCCTTGTCGGGTAGGCCACGACTAACAATTTTTCAGTAGAGCAAGTGATTTCGGGTTCGGAATTGGTTTTTTGTAAGTACTTCCTAACTTAATTATATACTAAGTTTACTTCCCAAAAAAGAAAACACTTACCTAGGTTCTAGAAGTTAATCGTTCAAATACAATTCTTAAATTTTCCTCAAAATTTTTAACTTGTGATTTTCTTTTTTCTTTACTTTAAAAATGAACAATACTTTTTTTTTTTAACCTATGAAAATTTTTCGGCGAGTTTGAAAATTAAATCACGTTGTATATATTTTGGATTCGAAAATATTTTATTTCATGAAGATATTTGCATTAGCAGTTATTAAAAATGTATAAAAATTCATAACGTCATTTGAAAAATGTTAAAAAAAACGAAAGTATTTTGTTGTTTATTTTGAGAAAGTTTTTATATTTTATCCGAGAAATTTTCAGACAAAAAATTGTATAAACATTTAAATTTAAACAGAAAAAAAAAATTAAACACTGTATTAAAAATAATTATTTTAATCCAGTTGATAATTATCTATAAAATAAGAAAAATCACGTTTAAATGTATTTTTTTTTCCGTTAATGATCCTTTAGGGAGACAATGACCGGTGAAAGATGAAAAATGTCCTAAAGTAAAATTAGGATCAAAGTTATGCGGGATATTGTTGATTTTGTTAAAGATTTCATTTTTTTTTCCGAAATAATTTCTTTCAAAATCTTGAATCTTATTGAATTTAATAATTCCTTCCCTTATTGAGGTTAAGGACACTTTTTTATTTAAAAAAAAAAAAATCGTCAGACCATCACTTTTTTTTTCAAGCAAGCAAAGAAAAACAATTTTTGCTAGTCGCATTTGAATAGTGAATGAATAAACGAATTTTTAATTTTATACAAAAAATGAGGGGCATCCAGTCCACTCATAAAAATATGGCACATTTTGGGGGAAACTTTTAGCATTCTTTTGCGACACTGGTCAGAATCGAAAAATAATATGCCAAGGCCCAAATCGATCCCTATTGATTGATTGACCTGGCCTAGGCTAAGTCATTTTTTTTAGTTTATTTACAAATGTCAAGTTTGAAAATTGGCTAACATTGAATTATTGATATTTGGATATTTTTTTTTTTTACTTTTTTTTTAATTTAATCTTTTTTAAAAACTTTTTTCAATTATGCCCCCCCCCACATACACACACCAAAAAAATCCCTAATTTTTATGAATAGACCAGTTAAGTAGTGCCAAAAAATGGCATCGGAAAATTTTGTCTGGGATAGCTCGTTTCGCAGCTAAGGTTGTTAATTAATGTTATTGAATGTTTGCTTACTTTTTTAATGGTCCCAGCAGTCGGTGCTCGAGCCTAAAACAGGGATTTCAAATGTTGAGTTTCCAATCAGGCATCGTCTTCTTCACGCACACAGAGTAACAGCTTTTTACCGGTACACACTACTTACCTCCAATTAAAAACATTTGCTAGGCTTACCTTTTTATTGAATTAAAAAAGGAGTGGGAGAATCATTATGTCACAAACACTTTTTCACTTGTTCATGAATAATACGTTTCTTTTCTCTAAACTGAGAAGGTCTTACATTTTTTTTGTAGTCTATTTGGCACAGTTAAAAAAATAATAATTTATGCGTTTTTTACAGTACTCTTCAGTTCACGCTCCATTTATTTTAAGACCTCGAAAACGAAAAGAATCAACAAGTTAAACTGGGGCGCCTTGTTTTTTTTCTGATAAATGTGTAAGAAGTGGAACAAAATCAGATCATCGAACCGTGTTTAGTTATATAATTGGATCAGAATCGCGTTAGGCGGTTGTATATCGTTAATTCAGCTTAACCCTAAGATTTTGTCGCATCTTATTTCGTGCATTGCATATGACGACTGTATGCCGGTATTCCAATGACGTCAACTTCGCATCCAATCAAATTGCAGCATCTTCGCGCAGCAGTGACGTCACACGGTTTGCCTCAGAAACCAGAAAGCTTTCTCCCTTCGCAGCAGTTGAGATATTTGGTGCCGTAGCGCATGGAATAAATAAATAAAACCATGAAATACTTTCACGTTATTGCCACCGTTTTTCTGGTGGCTGTTATTTGTATAGAATCTGGTAAGTCGTTCGTTCGTTCATTTATTTATTTATTTCAGATTTGGACATATTATTTTTGTTGTTTTTTTTATCCCCCTCCCTGTCAGAAAAAGAAAGAAAGAAAAACTTATAAAAAAAAAATTAAAAAAAAAAAAAGCGTCTTTTTCAGCGTCTTTTTCTCATTTTGTTTTTTTTTTTGTCACTTTTAAATGCGTATTTCTTGTAAGATGTCGTTTTCTAAAAGTCTTATTCATATAATAATGTTAGATTAACCAAAAGAAAGTCATTTATATTCTTTATGAAGAAATATACCTGATTATACAGAAAAAGAACGTAACCAGGAGATAAATGACCTATATATTATTGTCTTATAGATAAAAAAAAACAAAAAAAACAATGCAAATAATATTTTTTTTATATTGTTAAATTAAATATCTATCTTCTTAAAACTGACTTTTTCATGTAAATCTAAAAATTGGGAATTTATTTTCCTTTTTTCCTGCGAATAATGAAAATGTTAATCAATGCCGCCGCCTTAAAATTCTATATATCGTCATTTAGATGATTTTTACTTGTTGCTCGAAATTGCCTCCGTTTTAAAAATGTTATTGTTTTAAATGTTTTTTTTTATTAATCATTCAGTTTTCTTTATAGTATGTTTTTAAGAAAATTTTAAATTTTAATGTTATTAAATTTGATTGATAGTCACCACACTTTCAGTATTTAATTATTTTTCTCAAAGAAAATACCCCCCCTTTTTTCTTTTACTTTTCCTCTTAAAAAAAAACAAAAGAAAAAAACATGAGATCGATATCTCTTCATTTTAAATCGATCTATCATTCCAACCTCATAAAAGCATTAATAAAAGACAAAAAAGCACCTTGGGAGAAATCGTCCGTTTTTTTTTTTTTTTTTTTTTTTTTGTTTTTTTGTTTAACAAAGGGATTTTTTCTTTAGTTTATCACAGTACCTTTTCCTCTGTTGTTTTTTTTTTTTTTTTTTAATCATACATTTTACTTTGGAAACGTTAACCCAGAGTTTTTTTTTCTTTTAAGTCGATATGACTTTTTTGATAGTCTCTTTCGGATCGGGATAGCCTGACTTATTTGGTAATCGAGTTGGGAATTTACCAGTTCTTCAGATCCATAAATATTGGTCACTAAATCCGCTCAGAGCCAAAGAATTGCACAGTGGAAATTTCCCACAATCCATTTTCAAACGCAAATAAAACGAAGCTGCAGACATGCGATTTCTATTATTATTAGACAAGAGAATGTGTAAAAGAAGTATGAGTTTGCTAAGAGAAAAGGTAAAACTAAAAATAGACTCTTGAAGAGAGGTCATTGCAATGTGAACTTCTCCAACCTTGTTTGTTCCAAGATGTTATAGTTATTTTAACAAAATATTAAAATTTCAGATTTTCAAAAAGCGCTTTTGTAAAGAAAAATGAAAGTGTAAACTTTAAAAATTATTGTAAGACATTGCTCTTCATTTTTTTTCTTTTCTTTCTTTTTTCTCTCTTTTTTTATTATTAATCTTTTCAACTCTTGCGCTCATCTTGGTTTTAAAGACTTTTAAAAGTCAAAACTTGCTCAAAACGTTTTGGATTTGGCCGCGGTGTACCTCTCCGGCCTTCTTCACAGGTGAAGGTGTCCTGTTGCTCGAAATTTCAAACCGAAACTTTTTAGTTTTATTATTTAATTTAACGGAGTTATGTATTAGAAACCTGTTGTTAATTTACTTTTAGTTTATTTATGATGACAAAGTCTAGTAAACAAACCAGAATTTTAATTACCTGACCCAGGAATTGAACTCCTGACCACTAAGTAACCTGAACTGAAACACTCAACGCACTAACTCTGCCATTGTCTCCTATGAAGTGGTATTTCCTTCGTATTTTATCAGTCAGGCGACAGTCGTTTATCTCTCATAAAAAGAGCTGGCCTTACTCTTTTGGGCAGTCATTTACATTACTCTTTCTTTACTACTTTAACTCAACACAATCCTAGGACATCAACACCTGGTTCAATCGGGTACCAGAAAAAACGTCTCCATCTCCATTAGCTACAGCGAATCTGCACCACATTGATATTTTCTGTTTGTGAAGATTGAGAGACTGATGAAGTCTGCTACAGTTAATAATTGTGTGTTTGTGTGGACAGAAAATAAGGGGTGGGTCATCAACCCCATAGGCACGAATCTAGGAAAAGTGTTTAAAAAAAACAACAAAGAAAACTGGTAAGTGGACACAGGACTCTGGACTGGAAGCTTTGATCAAGGAGGCGGTGACAAATTGAGTCTTTAAAATTCGAAAATTCCACTAATGAATTAATGAGATGAGTTAAACAGAATTATTCTCCCCGAGCATGAAATGACAATCTACCTTTGTGGATTGAACAGAAAAAAGGGGTTTCGATTTGAAATTCCGAGGATGAAGAAATCCGGAGTGTACAGCAAGGATAAATTCACAACAGTTCGAATGTAATAATGATTTTGAAAAAACTAAACTCTTGTTCCCCCCCCTTTTAACGTGTGTACAGAATTGCTTGCTTGTCTTAATTACCCTGGTTGCACTGAGAATTTTCAAAATGTCAGTGTAACTTTTGCATTTGCTGAGTATTATTTACCTTTTTATTTTTCTATAATTTATTTTGATGTTTTATTTTTTTTTACTTAGAAATATGGCACAAATGCAGTACACTGTAGTGTACACAGACACTGTACAGATTTACACACAACTCCATTTCTCGGCTTCAATATTCTTTCCTGCATTTAAATTTTAAACAAACTGACTGCAGTATTTTTTTTTTAATAGATCAATTTCGTAGCAATATTTTTAGTGTGAATTATTCACTTGACTAGTATAATTGAGAACACTCCTCAAAGTTCTCCACATATTCTTCGCCTTAAAAATCTCTATACATCGAGTCTACTTTTAAAAATAGGGAGTGGTGACAAATATTTTTTATTTTTTATAATTTCATAAAGAAAATCTCTGAAGGAAAATTTTACATTTTTCAGGAAAAAAATTGATATCAAATCAGAGAATCTTTTAAACTTATTGTTGGTACTTACATATGTAATTTAACACATTTTCTTTCAGATTTGTCAGGGAAAAATCTACAATTAAAATACAAAAAAAAACAAAAAATTTGTCATTTTCCAATGCGATTTTGAAATACTCCGGGTTGCTAATGATAAATCTTTTTTCTTCTTAAAGATGTTTGAAGAATCAAAAAATATAAAGTTTGATGCTATTTTCGCATCAGATATATTTTATTTTTAAGTACTTTTATTTTCACAACTGTTAAGTTTGTATTATTGAAGGTCAAATAGGAAATCGTTCTAAAAGCCACCTCCCTCCCGAGGGATTCCATTAAGTTACAAACAAGTTTGAGTTTTATCACCCCTCCCCACACACGCTTACACATACATACAGTTTGTTTTGTTTTTTTTTTTTGCATTTGCTTTAAATGACTTAAATTCAATATTTTATCAAACAAAGTATAAATTTAAAACTCCACTATCATAACTAGTTCTTAATTTTTTATACTTTGATAAAAATAAAATTTATTCGGCTCAGTTTTCTTCATTATAGAATTATAGTCACTTATACCTATATGAGGTTACCCGACCGTTAATTTATTTTAAAGCATAAACACAATCAATTTTTTTTTTTTTTTTTTTTTTTTTTTTTTTTTTTGCCATCTGGAGATGGCAGTAGGAAACTACCGTTGTGGACCAATGGCATAGACCACCATAAAGGTTTTCATGTTTTAAGGAAAAAAAATTATAAACTTTTTTTCTCTCACAAAACAAAATCCAGTTTTAATTCTTAAATTTACTAAATTGCTCAAAAAGTAAAAGTAGGACAAATATATTGGATTTTTAAAAGATTTTAAATTTGCTTACATTATTTTTTGTTATATAAATTCGAGTGGACGTGAGTTGTGTGTGTGTTTGTTTTATAGCGGCATTTAGATTATTTTAGTACTACTTTTTACCTACCTTCATTTATCCAACCCCCCGAAATAAAAACTGAAATATTGTAAATTGAAATACATAGTTGTTGAAATATAAATTAAATTTCATTTCAGAGGCTAGATTTTTGGCTTATTCATCATGAATTTTTCTTTACAAATCCAAAGGAGTGTTCGGAATATGAAGCAAGCTTTAGCGTTTCAAACGCATTTTTTTTACACCTAAACATTAATTTTTAGCAGTTAGCTTCATATCTATTGAACAAGACTGCTTGGAGCCCTTTTTCTCTTCTCTCTTTTTTTTCTTTAAGACATGAGAAATTAAATGAAAAATACTATTCGTCATTTCAAATAAGTTTTAGAATTGCTTGTTTTGTTGTAAGGGAGATAAATCGTTTGAAACGCTAAAACCTATGTACTCAATCTCGGAAATATAAGGGCACTAATTCAATTCATAGTTGTGCATTACAATACACTTCCAATGATATCAAAGTTTGATATCATTGAAGTGTATTGTAATGCACAACTATGAATTGAATTCTGCTTTGTATTGGTCACAATAAAATGATGATGCAATAAATCTCTATTTAAATAGTTTTGAGTTTGCAAACTCAAACTATAGAGGTCAATATTTTCTGTTTCTGAGAGATGGTGTTTCTTTTTAAATAGAGATTTATTGCATCATTTTATTGTGACCAATACAATAGCAAATTATAAAAATAAAAACTAATAAAAAAAAAAAAAATAAAATATTGAGGATGTATAGGGTAACTTTTGATTGAGATACATCTTTTTCAATTGTTCTCATTCAATTTAAAAGCTTTAACTTGAAATGAAAGCAAATTCTTAATTTCAAATACCAGAAAAAGGGATTCTCCTACCTCTCTTGAATTTGTAAAATCTAATTCAAAACACCCCTGATCCAACATTCTGCCATCACTTGAATATGCTCTGTATTTTACTCATCAATTTATAGATGAATCTGTCTGTGCTGTTCATGTTTGGCAGGGAATCCTTTTCGCTTTTTTTTTTTCTCTCTCTCTCTCGCAAAAAATATTCTCTTTGATTGACATGAACCCATGTTTATACTTGACATCATTACCTCCCACATCTTGATGCCCACTAAAAAGAAAAAAAAGCTGGTAATAAGCCCAGGCCAGATAGACTGTACAGGGTGCGATAATTGTCATCCTAGTCATGCAAAAAAAATAAAATACACTGACATCTCATTTTAACAGATTTACCAAAATTACACAAAAATATCTTGAAACACTATGTAAATTTATGCAATAAGATTGTCATTGGCTTCAGACTCTTCTGCAACTCTTCTGGGCGGTCTTGTTTAAGTTGGTGAATGCAATCATAATACTTGCCTTCAGTTCATCTTTAGTGTTACAAGGATTTTTGGTTTTCCCTCAACTGGACCTCACACATAAATTTTATTTCCTGTAAATAGGAGGTTGCAGTCTGGGGAGTTAGGTAGCCAGATGTAAGGGGTGATGTGGTTGAAGAAATTGTCTGGCAGCCATAACTGGGTTCTGCTTATGTTGCATGTGCAGTGTCCTGCTGCCAGATATAGGGTCTTCCAGCAGCCACTCTCTTGACTCAAGGTAGCACTATTTTCTCAAGGTACTTGATGTAGGCCTCCATGTTTAGTCTGAGGCCCTGTGGGAAGATGAATGGAGGCATAACTCAAAACACCCTTGTAATCACCATTAGACTGATCCAACTATTTCCTTTGCATTGTCCTAATATTGACACCTAAACAATCTGAAATGGTCATGTTGGAGCTTGCGGTGTAAATGCCAAGAAGTGCAGCATGCTGTTTCTGATTAGGGATTGCTGGCAGTGCTTTGTGATCCTTGCTATCTTATCAACATTTGTTTATGACAAATTTCTAATTTGTATTTGGATATATTGTATCTAGTTGAATTGTTCACCTATATTGCATATGACCCATTATTGTACATAGTTATGCTACAATAAAGCTTGTATTTTATATGAATATTACCTTATGAAAATTGACATGTAGTAGATTATAGTTGATGTGGGGTCACAAGACCCTTGCACCAGCTTTTTTTTTTTCTCTCTCTTTCTTTTTTACCTGTCTAAATGCCATTTGAAGATGGAATTATCACAAACTTTTTATTATCCAACCATCATAAGGGATTTTAACTAATCTCTACATATGCTATCTTATCCTCTTAAAAGCCCCTGAGGGCATAATAAAAGCAAGCAAACAAAAGATCTTTTTACAGAAATATTTTTTTTTTCTCAAAAAAAAGTCACTTGAATCGGGTCTCTGTTTATTGCTTGTAAAATATGGGGGGGGGGTGAACTTTCCAGCTGAAAAAAAAGTCGACATTCATTTTTTTTTTTTTTTTTTCTCTCTTCGGCCTTTGATAAAATTTGGTTCAACTTTGAGCTTTAACTTCATGAATGAATGTCATGTGATTTATGACTCAAATCTGATATTGCAACACAAATTACTTGACATCAGCATATTTGTGAAAGAAATACTGCAAACAGTTGAAAGCAACCTATAGTGAAATGGTTGCAAGATGACACTGAATTATTATTGTTCTCTAAACTATTCATCCAGTTGGTGTTCAATCAACCATTTTCATAACATTTATCATTAGTGACCAAATTAAGATTAAACCATTCTTTTTGAAAGGGAAATCTTAGTTAAATCAATTTGTGTGACAGATTTGTTCATTGTTATGACTTCATTGACTAGAGATGAAATCATAGACACTGCTTATGTTTATTTCTAAAAATATTCTGGATGTACAAATTTCTTTTTTCAAATAAAAAGAACTGAATTATGTGATGATTATAGGAAAAAGCCAGTTATGTTATGAGTAATAATTAATCTATTCACTGCAATGCATTCATTCATAGACTCCCCCCACCAAAAAAAAAAAAATCAATAAGGACAGACATTTACAAGTCTTTTTCATTCTAGCCTTATTTACCACTTTTTTTTTTTTTTTTCTGAAACCCATTTAGCTGTTGTTGGCTTTTAATCTTCAGAACAGGGTTAATGATAGAAAATAAAACCTTTTCTCATTATCAAATTAATAACACTAGTTTTAAGACTTAATGATAAAAATAAACCTGCATTCTCATCTTTTTGATTATTTTATCAACAAGAACTAATTTGAGGATTTTTACTTATAAATGAAATAACAGAAAAATATAAGCAAATAGTGGTAAGTTAAAAATAAAAGGCTTAAGATTTAATTTCTATTAATTATACAAATTTTAATAAAATTCTGAAAACAAATTACAAAATTTGATTTTGTTGCACTAACATGCTATAAATATACCTTTACAATTTGAGGATAGATTGAATTATATTGCATGCCTTTCAGCAACAAAATTCACTTTTGTATCCTAGGAAGCATGCACAATTAACTTTATTAAAAAATGTGCTCATAGCTATAGATCAGGCTTTGGATTTAAATACTTAAATTGTTTTTAAGTTATGATTAATCAAATAAATAAATATTCTCAATTGATTTTCTTTCATCCCACTGATATTAACCCCCCACCTTTTTATCTTTTTGCAAGCAAACATTGTTGCTAAAAATAGAAATGTTATTGGACTAATTTGTGTGAAACTATTTTTAAAATTCAAAATGAAAACAAAACTATTCTAAATAGTTTGTAAGTTTGGCCCCTTTTTATATTCTAAACATCTTGCCTAATTTGGGTGACAGATTGTAAAAAAAACAAATTAGGTATAAGACATAAAACAGGATCCTCACACTCACCCACCTTCAAATAGGGTTTTAAAAAATCCTTTATTACTTCCATTTTCTAGAAATTCTCTTAAAATTCAGAACTATTACTACTTAAATTATACTTAACTAGAAGAAACTTATTTGATGAATAATATTTCTAAAAAAAATTCTTAAAATATCTTTTCTTTCTCCTTTCAGGTTCTGGAATAAAATGTTTTGTTTGCAATTCTTTCCAACAGCAAGATTGTGAAGATACTTTTGATAATTCCACATACAAACTTACAGATTGTGGTGCTGAATATGATAGATGCAGAAAGATTGTACAAGAACGTAAGTTGACTTAATACTCCAGTCATTCAATTGCTCAGGTCTTTAGTAATCATTATAGCAATTAATTTCTACTCATGTTTAAAAGATCATCACAATTTAATCTGCCATGTGATAAATTCTATTTCCTGTTTAAGTGAATTCACCAATTCAATATCGGAAGAACTGAAACAAAAGGCTCAATAGGTATTCTTTTGATTAATAAAACCTCTTTAAATGATGGATTGCTGTCTAAATAGACTAATGTTTAAAGAATTGTAGCAAAAGGCAAAATATCTTGGATGCAGCTCTTTTAATTGTTCTAAATTCCTGAATATACATTTTATAACATTTGCTTATTTGAAGAAATACTTGGAAATTATTCCTCCTAATAAAACATTCATTCCCTCTACATTTTCAATTAAACCAAAAGGTTGCTGTTAAATCAAATTTACAGCTGCTATTAAAAAATAAAATAAATCCCCAAATAACCTTGGGAAGTCAAAAATCCTATACAATTGATTTTAATTTTGAAATCAATGGCATTCAAAATAACTAAAGGCATCTGCTGATTACATTTAACTACATATCAAAATGCAATACTCTTTTTTTTTTTATCAATTTATTGATTCAAGTGTTAAGTATTCTTTGCTAAAATATTTTTATTTAATCATTTACTGTGTTTTTTTTTTTTTTTTTTTCTTTCATTTAAATTTACCAATATAAAAATCCACCCAAACTGAAATCTTGATCAAAAATTTAATTCTGTTTAAGCAACAAGAGACCTGGCAGAATACTGTTAATTTTTATATTTTTTAACATAAAAAATCTTTTGAGTTATTTTATTGGTTAATGATTCTACTGTCATATGAGAAAACTTGAAAAATGAAGTTTCTACACTTATCTAAGACTTTTCAGACAATAAAAACCTCATATTTTTGAATTTTGTGACTCTGCAAAAGAAATAGAGCTATATGATATGCTTTTTATAAAGCTAAAAATTGACAAAAACTTTTTCTTTTTTTTTTTTTTTTTTTTTTTTTTTTTTTGTTCAAATTCTATAAACTTAAATATTTGACTAGGGTATATAAAACTTAAATACAATAAAAACAAAAAAAATTCTTTCAGTTTGCTGACCAACAGGAATGATGTTATTCATGATAGAATAAAAATTGTTTCAAGGATTTCATCCACATTTAGATTGATATTTTTCTTCTTACTCAAATATTATAAATCATATATTAGCATTTTCATAAAGTGAAGAATATATAAGATCACAAAACATGTCATTATTTAGAAAGTTATAGGAAAACAGTTGTGTGTATTACTATTATCTATGGATATCTCTGTTATTTAAACATTTCTGTGTTTTAATTAAAACAATTCAAATGTCACCAGAAGTACAAGGAGGAAATGAGCCTAAATATATTTAATCTCTTAGACTGTTCTGCACAGATGTTAAGAGATGGGCATTAATCATTGAAGCATTTCAAAAATATCTCGAGCAAATCGACTAATAAGCAACGTTTCTATTTTCCCTCTAAAGACCAGTATACAGATGATGGGGGAGAAGCCTACCAGTGACATAGGTATTCATAGTTAGGTTAAGAATGATCTTGAGCAAAACTAAAAATCTCCTACCAATAAAATAAACCTTTACAAAATGGAGACTCTGATCTGGAATTTGGATAAAAATAGTAAGGCCACATAGCCTAAATCATCATAAAAAAATTCAAGATATGGAATTAGTAAATACTAAACACTGCAAATATCTGTGTATGGATCAGTTACAACAAATTTAGTCAGAGAGAAGGAAAATGAACATGAAATAGGCTGCATTAGGGATAGTTTCACCCAACCCTGCAAGATGCTGTGTAACCAAAACATTAACAGAAGAACTTGTCTTGATAAAAGCTCTCATATTGTTATACTACTTAATCAAGATCTCTTTCTGATTCCTAAATACATTTCATCAGATATGTCAACCAGATATGAGCGCTGAGGAAACAAACATAAAATAAAAAAATCATCTTCCACACAAGGACTCTAAACATCACATCCAGTCCATGAAACAAATCCCTCACAAAATTCTAAAATGCAATAGCCAGTCACAAATGTTGCCCCCACCACCAAAATTGTGGGAGGGGTCTGGGAGCCTGCACTTGTTAAACCAAAATATCTCTCCTGACACCATATGTGACCTTGGTTAGCCAACCCAAGTACCGACAACACCCTTACACCTAATCACCTTTCTTACCAACAGCAACTAAAGAACCACATATGAACAACTGTTGCCACTTTTCATACAACAATATACATATTCTGTATTTAGACCAATACACTTGTTGACCCATCTTAATCTTTGTTCCTTTCCAATGCAACCAAATGCTTCATACGAATATGGATAGCATGCATGATGCCAAACATGTTCAGAAATGTATAAACTGTCAATTTTCTCAAGTTGCTGCTTAAAAATGGCTAGACCAAAGGAATCTTGTAGGTCTTAATAAGAACCACCCTTTTTTTGGACATTGGCATTACAGAATGCCAATCTACTAAGAGTTGTACCAAATAGAAATTAAATCCCTTGGGGACTTTCAACAGCTAAAATGGATAGCACAAGTAACTTGAAGAGAAAATGACATGATCAAGATGTTCACATTCGACTCTTTCAAATAAAAGGTTATGAAGAATCCCCCATCAATACTGGAAAGAGTGATAACAACTACTGAACTTTTTTTCCCCGAAAACCTTTGATTTATTAAATTTCAACAGATGGTAACATTGGCTGCTCAGTCAATCAACTATGTTTTATATGGTTTGAAAGATATTAAGAAAATAATAATTAATAAGAAATTTTGTGTTTACTTTAAAAGCCATTCTATTGGGTGGGGGGGATTAATTTTAGCTCCCTTCCTATTTCGTTTGTAGATGGATATTGAAAGTGAAAACAAACTTTTCAACATTTGATATTTGATTCTACGATTATAGTTGCTGGTGATTTAAGTGAAATTTGGATGAAGTTTACCACAAAAATAACTATTAGAAAATGTTTTAATTTTGATTCTTTTCATTTTTATATATAGACACACACACTTAAAGGTCCTTATAACAAATCTCAACTGTTAAACTTGCACATTGCTTTAATCTAAATATATTTGTATTTGACGCATGTGATGTTACGCTATTTTGAATATTAATAGACAAATTGATCTTCATTTTTGCAGATATTAATATAAACATCAATCAAGGATTGTTGCCAAAATTCTAGCTTAGTATTTTAAAAAGTATTCCATGCAACTAAAATCTATATTTTTCTGATATAATTTAGCTGCATCATAAAAGGTTAGATTCATCAGGATTATCTTAGCAATGAGATTTTTATTGACCTAATCATTTCACCTCGAATAAGGCAATAAAGCCACTAAGATGCAAGGAGTTACTGAGCACGTAAGAAACTTGGGAAAACTTTAAGGAGAGGATAATAAAAGGACTGAATTCAAAAATACAGGTGACAATTGACATTGCATTTGAGTTTTTGAATGTCATGCTTGACTAGAAAGCAAGAAGCTGGAAAAGAGTTCACAGGTGTTTAGTAGTATTTCTTGTCAGTGGTTTGACATGCTTCTTTCGAAAGAATTATTGGTCAGTAGAAAATTGGGGTCAGCTTTCTATTTAACATTCAGCCTTAAAGTGAATAAATTTAATTGTACTAAGTTTAGCTTGAAGTCTTTCACTGGGTTTCTTAAAGATTTGTGTGAAATGAAGCCTCCACCAAAAAAATTTTAAATTCATTTTATTGAAATTTCCTTTTTGAAAGAAGAGATGTAAATTCTTTCAGTGATCTTGGATCTTTTGAAAGTCCAGCAAAGATTATTAAATATATTAATTCTTTTTAGAAGTCTGTGGTCATTTTAATTTTTTCCATGTTGGTCAATTTTTGGATCCTCTCATTTTGTAGAAATCTTTTGAAAGACTCTTAATGGTTAAACTATAACAAAATAACAAATATTTAAAAGATCCATTTAAATACTCCTCTAATGAACATGCATGTTGGGGTATTGATTATCAGAATGCGTTATTCATGTAATAAGCATCTTTTCTGTTCAAAGGCTGACCATTTTCTAGATACTTTCAAAATTGTTTACATTTTTTTTTTATTGTAAACATTAAAAAATTGTAAGCTTCTTTTGTCTTTTGCTATATGATGAATAAATTGATTTAATCTTTTTCATAATCTCAAGAATGAAACCTATTTCGATCAGCAATTATTGATTTATAATTTTTTAAAATGTAAGCGTAAATACTACTCCTAGGTCTTAATTATTAATTGAAGGTAGGTCAGAATTTTTCTCTATGCAATAAACTGAAGGGTCTAATAAAAAGGGATGAGTCATTTAAAGGGTGAATATGTTAAATTAACGCCTCCAATTCAGAGAGTTGAAAAATTTCCTCCCAAAAATAAAATAAAAAACTTTCTTTTCTATTATGCAGCTAAAAGTAGATCCTTTGACTAATTGATATTTGTGGTCTTGTTAATTTCTTGTCTGTTTTAAAGAGCACTAAAAAAGGATAAATCTGAAGGGTGAAAATAAATATAATTAATAAAAAGTTGATGCACATCCTAAAAAAACAGTTTTGTTACAGTCTGAGGTCAGCTGAGAGGTATTACAAAAATATCTCCTTCATAGAGTTTTGCAAAGGTTGACACAGGATCATGAGCAAAAATGAAATTTTGTGGCCTTGTCTTCCAAGCGTGAAAAGCTTGTCTTAATAGTTAGTCTTGAAAGTAATGACAAAGGAGAATTTATCCTGTATTGTTTGTCAAAAAAGAAAATCAAAATAAAGATTGGACCTACTTTAGTAGTAGGTCTTGAAATTTGGAAATTTTTATCACTTTCCTGCCAGTCTCTACTAATCACTGCCTTTTGTAAACTAATAAAAGAATGCTACTTTGGCCAACAATGGCATTCTGTTTGTTTGTTTGTTTGTGTTTTTTTTTTTGTTTTTTTTTATGTGTGAGTGAAGAAGGCAATTGTATGTACAGCTTTTAAATCCCTTTCGATTTACCGTCTCCCAGTAGTTTTGACTTTGGACTTTCAAGGCTGATTTATATATTTGGAATTATAACACAGGATTTCAGATTTGGAATCTGTACCCCCACCCCATTGTTATTCTCCCACAGAAAGTCAGCATTTGAAATTCTAGCTTTTTACTGTAGTTTAAACTCTGACTCCAAGAGCTGATGGTAAGCACAACTACTTCAGCCAACAAGCTTTCACTTATTAAGATGGCTCTCTTCAGCTTCAATCTCTCTTAGCTTCAATAATGTTCCCTGTTAAACTTTAGTCAGATATTTGCCTGCTGCCTTAACTCTATTGACAAGAGTATAATTTAAAATTAGGCTTGATTGTAACAAAATAAGCCATTTTGTCACTGGATTTTTACAAAATGAATTCTGTATTTATCTTTTTTTTTTTTTTTTTTTTTTTTTTTTTTAATATTTGTTCTTTCAACTTTTTTTTTTGTTAAAACAGAACTTCTTTTTATTTCTATTTTTTCTATCACTTGCAGTTGACATTTGAGATTTCCTCTCCAATATAATCAACCTAATTTTGTGGTTCTAGCATTGAAATTTACTTGAATACTTTTTAGACATTTCTATCTGTTTATGAATCCGTTCTTTTGAGATCACATGGCATGCCAACAAGTTAATAACTTTAACACCTGACTAATGACTTAAATTCCAATAAGAAGCAAGTTTAATGTTAAAAAATTTATTCAATTATCGTGAAAATAATTTTTTATTTTCTTCTTTCAGTTAAAGTAAACAAGGAATGGGAAGTAAGATACATCAGACAATGTGCCAAAGGAGGCTTAATTGGAAAGGATGAGGGCAAAGTGTGTAAAGATAGAATCGGAACCAGTGGTGTCAAAATGAAGTACTGTCATTGTAACAATATTGATGGATGCAACACTGCTTCGAGCTGGAACCTACCTGTCACCCTTTTGGTTGCCACCCTGACTGGACAATATTTTTTGCAGAAATTATAAGCATATTTACTAATTAATTTTAATTTTTTTCTTTGTTTCTTGTAAATTAGAATTTTAATAACAAACTGAGTGCTCTTGATGATGCCATCTAAGCAATCAGACTAACACATTAACACACAAAGAAATGAATTCATTTTTATTCTTTTCTACTTTTGCACTTATTCTATAAAACGAGATTTTTCACATAATCAAATTAGATTAGATTTGTTATAAATTAATTTCTTTTATATAAGTGTTACAAGATTTTATCTACCCTGTTGTTTATCTTCTGTTTTTATGCTCATGTTAGAACTTTAAAAAAAACATAGTGATTATTGTTTTATTTAACTTCTTTTGATGGAACATAAACTCTTGAATGTTCAGTCAGAATCTAAAAGTAAAATCCTTTTGTCAGAAGGAAAAAAAAAAAAAACACTTTTCATACCCAATATCCCTCATTTAATTTTTGACTAATATTTCTCACCTGTTATTTTGATTGTAACTCTGAAAACATAAGATGAAAGAAATACTAGTCAAAAATGAAGAATTGACACTGCTTCATCTAAAAATTCAAATATTACCTACTGTCCATATTGTATGTTTTTATTAATATCAAGAAATTTTTCCATTTGATCACCAAAAAAAAAAACCCAAGAAACAACTTTGAAATTTATTACATCCTAAAAGATTTCATGTTGCAGAATGCAATAATTCTGTTTCTTAATATTTTGATCTATAAATCATATCTTAACAATTTCCATTCTCACTTTCCAACAGAATCTATTGTTTGACAAGATTGCTAACTTTTTCACCTAACTGATTTTATTGTCATATATATATATATATATATATATATATATATATAATCACTAAACTGCCTCTCCATTTCTTCCTCTCTATTTTTTGGAAACCAAGCCATATTGTAAATCATTGATTTCTTACTCAACTGTGGCACAAAGAATACACTTGCAGTTCACTCTGCATAAAAAGCAGCAGAAAGGATGAAGAAGGAATCAATGTATTCTAAATGGTCTTATGCAATTTTTCTTGAAATGTTGATCAATGCTATTTTGCTATCTCTGGTCTGTACTCCAACTGCCGTCTTTCAGGAGGCAACACTAGCACATCCCAGACATTTGATCAGCTCTGATTTACTATATTTTCACTGAACTTATTGAACTGACAAAATTGTGTGACTTTGTACTCTTTGGAAAAGTGCATTAAAAGATCTTAAAATCTATTCATGTGTTGACTTGTACCATTGTTTTATTTCGTCTGGTTCTCATGTAGCCTGCTTTCAATTGCTTTTTTTTTTTTTTTTTTTTTTTTTTTCCTTTTTCTTTTTCTCTTCTCTGGGATCATTCATAGTAAAATTTGTGATTAAATTTATATTAGAAAGCCACCATTTACATTAATGACTTTCCCAATAACAGCAACTCTCAACTTGGTATCTATGCTGATAACAACTATTTACTCCTGCCTCAATAGTAAGGCTGATCAGTCCACAGGGTCAAAATAACAGCCAATGTCAAATAACCAAATCCATTGTTAGTAAGGCCAAAAGACGGATTGTTAATTTTAACCCCTCCAAAACTAAACTTCTTTCTGTTAATCATCTGAGAGACCCCTCTCTGTCTTCCATCATCATGGCTGATGCTAACCTCCTGGACAGTGATTTGTTGCGCCTTCTTGGGCTAACATTCTCAGCTGACATAAAGTGGAAAGATTATATTGAATTCATTGCAAAATCAACTGCTAAGAAAGTCAGTTTACTGTCATGTGAGACAATTTTCCTCTCCAGAATCTAACATACATATATATAAGTTTACCATTAGCCCATGTTTATAATATTGCTGCCACATATGGTCTGGAGCCCCTGCTATTTACCTTGAGCTCTTTGATAAAAATTCAAAGAATCAGTAATAATATTGGTTCTGATCTAGCGGCTCACCTTAAATTACTTTTTCAATGCTGTAAGGTTGCCTCTCTCTCTGTCTTTTATGTAAATACTTTCATGTAAATACTTAGTTGTAGTTGTTGATGAGTTTTTCACTATGGTACATAGACTTTTGAATTTAAGTGCAATACTTGACTGGCATCGAGATATGAATTTATGGTTGAGCTGGCTAGATGTAACCATAAATTCTATGCTAACAGTTAATTTTCTCACACTTGTTTGTGGAACTCCTTTCTGGCTCCATGCTTTCCAGCAAACTTAAATTCTATAAAAATTTAATTGCAATGTCAATCACTATCTACTGTCCTGATTACTCTTTCCTCTTCCCACTCATTATTGTTTCTGTTCCTAATTCTTCCACACTCCATAACCCCTTGTGTTTTAGTGGCTTTTATTGCCTTGCATGGGGTGATAACAATTTAAAAAAAAAAAAAAAAAATCAGTTAATGTTCATTTTAGAAAGAAATTCAGACAAGAGGCATTGGATCAATTTTGAAAATGTTATAAGCTTTATCATTTATCATTTTGTGTGGTTTTAATGAATGAGCAGAGTTTTTGCTTACCTGCAGACAAACTGAGTGAATGAGTTTGTTTTTTTTTTGTTTTTGTTTTTTTTTATGGATCAGAGTGGGGGGTAGCATTGGATGGGGGGAATTGTTTATATACCCCCCCAGCACCATACATAGAGAAACCTCCTTGCCTCCTATCAACATGGTTGATCTCAACTCCACCAGAGCATCTCCCTGAACCTTCTTGGTCTCACGTTTTCCACTGACTTGACATTATTGAATCAATAGCTGCATCTATTGCAAGGAAAGTTTGCTCTCTGTGTCGCACCAGAAGGTTTTTATCCGAGTCTATCCTTCATATCTACAAATTTATTTGTCCATGTATGCTATACTGTTGCCATATAGGGTGTGGTGCTCCTGCTGTTCAATTCAAGGTTTTCAACATAATCCAAAAGATGTATATGCAATGTGATCAGTCCTGACTTTGGGTCTTGGCTCCAGTCACTTTCTCACCAATGTAATGTGGCTTCCCTCTGAATTTTCTATATTTTCGAGCTATTTTCACTGATGTCCCAACTGCATGAATTTAAGGTTGGTATCTCGGTAACATCCCTTTTTTTACTGTCAAAATGGTTAAATGTAACCACTTCTTCTACTCTAACATCTTCTCTAGCACTTCCTGACAGTGAAACTCCCTTCCTCTTACTTGCTTTAATGATCTTCAAAAATTTAAGTGTAATGTCAATCAACATCTGATGCCTTGATCCCAGTTCTTTTATCCTTTCCTCAATCCCACTATATCCAGTCTTTTCCCTTACTTTCCTCTCTCTGTGTACTAGTGGCCTTGCTTGGGATGAAATGCTTTTTTTTTTTTTTTTTTTTTTTTAAGTGAGTTAGGTAGTGAGTTTGTTCTTTTAAGACTTTGGAGCAGACTCAGATTGCTATCAGAGAAAAGAGATGGAAAAACAGACAACAAATTAAGTTTCTTTTTCTATTTAAGAGTTGTTTACTTGGTATATTTAGAAACCTAATTATGTCAAAATTTTTTTTAGATATTTACAAACTGCTGATACGCTTTGAAACCTACTTTTAAAATTTAAATTAATTTTTTTTTTTTTTTTTTTTTTTTATAATCAGAATTATTCTTTAGATATGTACATTATCATGTAATGCCTACTCCCTATTTTCCATTATGAGTGACTCTATACTTTCTCAGGCTAATATTTTCTACTGACATGAAGTGGAAAGATTAAACTGAATCAATTGCTAGGTTTGCTGCTAGGAATGTCAGTTCACTGTGTCATGCTGGATGACTTTTTTCCAGTAATTGAATAGTCAAACAGGGTCAGTGCACTTTTACAATTTAAAAAAAGAATAAAATGTTTTTATGTGAAATAATCAGACTGAAGAAATTGTTTTCAGTGAAATTGGTTAAGTTAAACTAGGGTTCAATATTAGAGCTTCCCATAATCAACATTGAAAATGCTAAGACCAACCTACAGGAAATTTTAGAGTTACTATATGATTAAAAAGAAAAAAAATTGTATGTGCAGATCTAGTATGCTTTATCTTTTGAAAATATCTTCTTCCATAAATAAGTGTTGCCAAATGCCAAAATAGTCAGAAAGTTAAATCTTTCTATTTGCAAATAGTTTTCTTTCATTAATTAATTTATTCTATTTGATTAGTAGCCATGTAATATATTTTTTTTTTTTTTTTTTTTTTTTTTTAAATTGTATGTTACTACTAGCAGCATGATTCAAAAATTGTACACTTGACTTAAAATATTTTTGCCCTTCCTTGCCTTTAAAGGAGTGCCCTTTGCTGTGCTGATGTTGCTACATGCCATACTTCTTGCCTATCTCACACTGCAAATTTTTTCTAAGCTCTGTGCTAAACATTAAATCTGTTACGAAAAAAGAACTAAACAAAATGAACACAAAATGATCAGCTTTAAAAAAGGACTTGTAACTGGAAAAACTGAATGAAAAAAGAATGTTAACAACACAGACTTTTTCACACCCAGCCCGGTCCTGCAGAATCGGAATCAACGTTGAGTTTAAGCAAGCGAATGAGCCAATTGGAGTAAAGTGCCATGCAGATTTAAATTTTTTCCACTTGTGACAATGCAGCTATTGATTTTTTTTTTTTTTTTGCATGCTAGTTAACATTCGTGTCAGTTGGCTCTCATGCTGGCCAATATAATCTTCCTGCCTATTCATGGCAGCCAGCTATTGGCTCTCTGGCCAGTACAAAATGGCTGCAAACTACATGAAAACTGCCGTAGAAGCATTAAAAAATCAATTATTTCCATTATTATGGGAGTTGGGAAATGCAAAGTTAACTTTGTGCATGTAAATTTTGGTGCAAATCTGTCAAATTGCAGCTGTGCATTCGTTACACACACATCCTGCCTCTTATAGATAGATATCTTATTATAATTGTACTTGTCCT